AGAGTCTCACTAATATTCCACCTCATAACAGGATGCCCAGGAAAAGTGGCTTACTTCAGTTATCTGACGCAGTAAATGACAAGGAAAGTTCAGTCAACAGTGGCAACAACAACAACAGCTGGCCTGATAGCAAGGACGAGCTGGATATGGACAACCTACCACCACCACCCCCAGAAGTTCTGATGGACAATTCCTTTCAGAGTACTCAGGTCCTAGCAGGAACTGAAGTGGGTTTGCAGAAACCTTTTAGTTCTCAAGTGATAAACCCCAAGATTGGAATCTTCCATCGCCTGAAGGCATCTATCCACAATGTAGAAGTGTTACCAAATCGAGTATGTATGAGGCCAAGGTCGATCGCTATCTCTCCTGCCCATCCTGTTACACAGGATGGTGTTACGGGCACTCAGGATGCAGATCAGCTGCAATCAGAAACAGATCTGAACCTGGAAATTAAGAAGGCTAATAATCTCTACCAAAAGGCATGTAAGATTATTCACCTGCGTGATGCAGCAGAATCTTCTGATAAGAGAAATATTGTTGAACCAGGCATCAGAGCAACTTCTCCTCTTCAACTCACCATAGATCGGAAATATAACAGCAATGAATTTTATGAGGGTGAATTATCCTCTTGCAGTCTGACTGTGAAAGCACCACCTGTATCTAGAGTCCGCCTTCCACCATCTTGTCCTAGTACATGCAAAAGATTTCCAAGTCCCCCTGTAATTAGACCTCAGTCTACATCTAGGCACTCATCTCGTCCTAGTTCTCCCAGAACAGTGACACGCTGTACAGATAACAAGACAGAAGAAATCATTCCATCCGTATCCTTTCGCGACGCACGCTCTGTTTTCTGTCAAAATGAGTTTCAAAACTTGAAGACCTGTTTGCCCCCTGAAAGGTCTGTGCTTCCCAGACAAGGGGGAGAGGTCCCCCGAGGAAGACTACTTACCAGAGCAACAGACACCTCTACTCGTCGCACCCAATCAGACCATAGGCCTAGTGGGACTCTTCATTCAGAGTTTCTAAAGGATGCCAGTTTGGCCTCTATGCAGGAGAAAGGGAGTAACCTATTGCCACAAAATACAGGTAAATATTACAAAAGATGAAATATGTGATTACATATTTTAAAAAATGTGCATTTCAAATTGTTTAAAAGTAGCTCACCAAATCTTTATGTCACTTCTGAGTCAATTTTGTAATCGCATTAAAAAAATGTAAACTACTCAACACTAAAATTACACATCGTAGCCTAATGGATGAAACATTCAAACTGAAAATCTTGACTGACATACACTGTAATTTTGCTGACCAAAATCATCACCCCTTTGAGACCTGGGTTCAAAATCAAATCAAAAATAAATTTAACATTTGTTGTTAAAAGTCTTCCCTTGACTTTTTTAATAGCATATATTGAAAACAAACAGATTAGTTTGATCTTTGGTGACTGTTTGCTTTGAATCTACCCAGATGGTTTTTGACTCAAACAGCTGTCTTACTTTTCTCTGAATGATATCAGCATAGCTGGCAATCTGAATTTCCAGATCTGATATGCAACTGATTTTTCTGTCTTTGTGTCATACTCTTGAGTCTTGATGTCTCACAATTTCTGGAAACCAGCATACTCCAGCAGTACCATACTCGGTTGCCATGAAAGGGGAACTGCAAAGCCACTGCATGTTGAAAGAGAAGCAATAGTGAAAGCAGGCAAATTCCCCATATTCTTAGCAATTATGCACCAATTGTCTACACAGTTGGTGGTGCAACTGGTTACTCTATGAGTTTCTTAGTTGAAAATAATACTGCTACGAACACTTTGCTATGCACTCTTATTTAGGCACCAGTCACACATTTGCCTAGAGAATAGTGAGCAACCATGTGGTCACTAAGGAAAAGTGTATATTCCACAGCTGGTTGGTGAATGGTTGCTGCCAGGTTACTGGCAGTCACTGGCGATTAAAACTGGTTGCAAAGAGGTATGCAGTACTGCACTGAAAACCTACATGCGACTGTTTTGATTTCTAGCAAGTTGCTGGGGTTGCCTATAGTTTGCATGGAAGATATAAACTTGTCTGCAAACACACAAACTACTTGCAAAGATGTAATAAAACTTTGAAAAGTGCTACACAAAGCAAAAGCGGAGAACCTTCAAAGTAAAAATTACACCTTTTCAATCAATCAATCGATCAATCAATCAAGGCTTTATTCGCCACGTGCAGGTTGCCCCGCAGTGAAATAGG